AAACTGAAAAACGTGTTGACACACTCCTTTGAATAACACACATATCTGGTTTTAATGTAGACTTCCTTGTTCATGGTTATACCCAATGTCAACTGAGCAACTGCTCAGTAGTAGAGTTTTTCAGGAACTAAGTCATTTGCATATATGATTTTATTTAATCCTTTGAACTCCAGGCAGTAGATACTACCACTTCCTCCACTGCACAGCTAGGGAATCTGGGTGTTTAGGTAACCAGCCCCAGGTCACTCAGCAGAATCTAGCTTGAATCCAGACAGTGTGATTCCAAAGCCCATACACCTCGCCACTTCTTGAAGCCTTCTACTGATTTCTGTCAGAACTATGGGTCATTAGAAAACGGAACCATTTTTCCTTTGAGGCTCAGCTTCTTCACTACTTGTCTATTCTTTCCACTTTCCTTCCTGCTTCCTGTCAGGCTCTCTAATGCATACCTTTGGATTTCCTCAGTGTTCTTTTCCAGTCACAGGGAGGAACCTGGCCTCCCTCCGGCTCCCAGTTGCTCACAGCGCAAGCTCTGGAGAAAGGCTGAGCCTGCTGGGAAAACCGATCCGCTGGCCACTGACAACAGACACAGCAGCACTGCCTGGAAGTGTGAGGTTACTTACCTCCATGTACACATCGAGCTCCCAGACTCAGGTAAGACCACATCCCCTGACCCTTCCACGGGATGCATTTATTTTCATGGTTACACAGAAGTGAGGCTCTCAGATTCTGAGAACTGCTGAACTTAGCAATGTAAACTCAAAGCAAAGTGAGTAGCTGCTGATCTAAGCTTTCCTTCTCTTATACTTGCTCATACTCTAATGTGCACAGAGTAGGAAATTTTGGAAAATTGGGAGTAAAACCTGCTTCATTAAATCATGTTTCTTTAGGGTTACTGGGAACTAAAAGTTTTACAAAAACTTCTCTGGAAGCACTTAGGGTCATTTTAAATAAATTATGAATTGATTAGCAGATACGCTGAATTTGTTAGATGCTCATATCAGGGCTTCCATTGGAAAGAAGCTGTTCTGTTTCTGCAGATTTTTCTGACAATGCGAATGATGACATCTGACTGTTGCAGCAGGCAAGAGCGCGTGGGTTCAGGCATCCCCCAGACCTGTGTGTCCACCTTCAAGCAGTGTGCACTTGAACCAGTTCTTTCACTTCTTCAAACCTCAGCGTCTCTGTAAAAAGTTGGGGCATTAACGTTCCTCGCCTAAGGTTACTGCAAAGATCAAATGACATCATGTCTGTGAAAATGTCTCGCACAGGCACTGGCAGAGTAGACATTTCATAAATGGTAATTGTATTTAATTTCATGTCATTTTAAGGGAGGGGCAGATGTAAAAGCTTGTTATTGAGAAATAAGGAAACAGAAGCCATAAATTTGTGGTCTGCAATTTTTCCTGCACATAAGAAAACTGTTCACCAAAGCTATATTTGCAAACAGGAATACCAGAATCTTTTACGATACTTCTCCCACTAAAACCTCAACTTTTAGTAATTGGACACTTCAAAGTTTGGCTATACAATATTTTCCTGCTATGTACATGTTTACAATATAAAAATCAAGACAAAAAATACACAGTCTGAGTCAACAGGGAATGCAGATGATCAGATGTAAATGTTAGCTTCCACAGCCTATCAGAAAAGAAATCATTTACAAAGATGATGAATATAGTGCTCACAATGAGAAAATCAGTAAATCAGAAACTCTACACAGTAAAAAACATTTATGAAGAAGGCTTATGTGGAAAAATGACATTTCCGTCTTTAGAATTATCTGCAAATTACCTAAAATTTCATTTTCAGCATTATTTCCTTTTTTTGAGACGGAATTGCTCTCTGTTGACCAGGCTGGAGTGCAATGGCACAATCTTGGTTCACTGCAACCTCTGCCTCCCGGGTTCAAGCAGTTCTCCTGCCTCAGCCTCCCAAATAGATGGGATTACAGGCACCCGCCACCATGCCCAGCTACTTTTTATATATATATATATTTTTAGTAGAGACAGGGTTTCACCATGTTGGCCAGGCTGGTCTCGAACTCCTGACCTCAGGTGATCCTCCCGCCTCAGCCTCCTGAAGTGCTGGGATTACAGGCGTGAGCCAACCACACCCAGTCTATTTCCAGTTGTTTTTAAGATTAATAAAATGGAGTCGCCATTGCTTTGTTCAACATTTCCCTTTGGGTAATAACATGATTAATCTACTGAAAAGAGGAGCCACGGGGGCTCAGAAAGAAATGAGGTAATACATGTCAGCCCAACAACAACAAAATGTGCAACAGAACAGTCCAGAAAGAAAACTGAAATGGGAACCCCTGCTAAGAATTTTTCTTTGCATGAGGCTCCTGGGTCTACAACTAAACAAGTATCACACTGCCCAAGTAGCTGGAAGGCATTTCCTAAAGGGTGCAATCGCTAGAAAGGAGTTCAGGCCACAGTGACTGTCAGCAAGCTCAGATTACAGCAAAACCTCTGAAGTTATTTCCAAAACATAATCAAAGCTCTCTGCACAGTCAGGGCAGTGGCAAATTCCTAGAACTGATTTTTGTTGCTGAGTTCAGCACTAAACAGTCTCTGAGAAAGCTCAGATTAGTCAGGCTGAACAAACAAGAAACAAACCAAAAAAATTTCCAGTAGAGTTTTAGCCACAACTAAATGAGTTGTCCCGTTTCACTAAAAATTCATGCACATAGCTAAGGACTCTCCTCATCTTCAAAAAAACTATAGTTGTCCAACTTTCTAAAATTCTCTTTAAGTTTGCTAATGTTAAAAACAATGATAGTGAAACCTCCACTCTTCTATCCCTCAGATATACAAATAATGTATCTAAAGCAAGTACATGGTATTTTCATAAACACTGTCTATAGCCACACAAGCTGTATTATTTCTGCCCATGTTTTAAAAATTAAGAATCTTTAGTTGAAATCCATCCCAATTACTCCGGCCCAAAGTAT